TCATGGTCGTTTTTCGTCAAGCATTTCAATCCCATTAGCTCCTCGAGTAGACACATTTAATTTCTCTCGCACCTCATCCAATTGTCTCATATTTATCCATTCATATATTAATCTAAAGCTTTTAATGGTTTGGCTTTTTTATTTTCAACCAAACAATCAATCGGAAATAATGCCAAACGACTGATAAGTGATAAATAGCACTCGATCGGCACCTGGACTGTGCAGTATTCCATTAGCATCAAACGGCTTTTAATGTGAAATATCAAGTATTGACAATAGCTGTTTTCTTATCGCATTCGTATGTTACGTCGTCTGCTACATTGATTTAATATGCGCAAATGCATGTAATGGATAATTCGCCATATCTGAGGAATTACTCACTCATCAAGAGATGCTAAAGTCAACCGCAAACCGCAACGAAAAATTCAAAAAAGCGACTAATGGAAGGATTAGACGTGGACGAAAATATGGAACTGTAATAATTAAATAAACAATGAATAAGCGATAAAATGTTACACTTGACGTGCCACTGTGATACAAATGTAATGTATCATTTAGCGGTATCAGGCCCATATGTTCAGTCCATTTCCATAATCAAATACAGATAGGGAATTGATATTCGGAGCAACAAGTGTGAATGTCTGTTTGATTCGTGTGGATTTGTAAACGGATATGTAATTGACTACCTGTGGACTGCGGTTAATGCATTCATGATAATTCCAGCTCTGATTCAGAGGAAATCCTCAAATTGAATCAAACCACTTCCGGTTTGATCTATTTTCACAAATTAAACCAAGAAATGTGTGTAATTATGAAATCAGTCATCACTAAAATGAAGTGATTCAATTTTTTGATTTAATCACATAAGAAATTGTTGAGGTAATTAAAAAAACTGCTCAAATGAGACGATTTTAACAAATATTAATAATTAATAAATCCAAACCTAGGTTTGCAATGTATCAGTCTCCTAATTAAATTAAAACTGTTAACTATTTTCTTTATTTGTAAAAAAAAAGTTAATTTTTAAATAACAAAAAATAATTACTACTTAAAAGAAAGAGAATTAATAAAAAAATGCGACAAAGTGAAATTAAAAACTAAAATTAATTTTG